GGGGATCTGAGGGCATTTCAAAATGTGGGTTATTTTAGCAATCGTAAGGAAGACATTTGTGATGGAAAGTAATGGCATGATGCTTAAAACTAGCCCTGTGTTTTAAACATAACAAGTCAGTGCTGCCTTAAAATGTAACAAAGATGTTTCTAAATCACTGTGCTCTTTACTTGTGCCAGATTTGCTTTTGAAGTACAGTCTTCCAGCAAGCAATTAGTTCTTTTGCTTTTAGGTAGGACTGCTGAAGTCATATCTGCAAAACTGTTCTGTTAATGAAAAAGCTTTTACAGAGCCTTGTTTCCTCTGCAGTCTGTTGGGAGGAAAAAAACTGTAATGCCTTCCCAGGTAATGGGACTGGTAGACCCTCTAAATATGAGAATCAAATCTCCTGGGAAAAGTTGCATTTCATTATGCACATATTTCATGAAATTGAACGGTGAGCATGGAATTATGCTCTTTAAGTCTCATTACTAGTTTGCTTTGGTTAAGTATTTGGGATGTCTCTGTGGTTAGATAACACTATTAGTGCAGGATGTAATGGGCAATCACAGCCTTCCTTGTGTGGAGCTCTTCAAGCTTAAAATACAAATTGTTGTATTTCTGGGGCAATCCTGCAAATAAACTTACAACACAGTGTGAAATCAAGCCTGAAGTCTCAATTAGTCTGTCACTTGCCATAGAATATTCTAGGCTTTTGGCATAAGCAGTTAAAACAATGATTACAGTTAAAGCAAGGATTTAAAATTTATGACTTTGACTAACCTTTGGTGACAGCATCCTTTACCCTCTTTCATAGATTGGTGTCACTGTTTTATTTCAAGGAACCTTGGGGCCCTGTTGCTATTCATTCCTCTCCTCTCTGTGGCATTTCTTTCCTCTTTACCATTCTGTGGGTGGAATTCACTTGCCTTTGCTTAGGAAACCACTGCTACTTTAAAGATGCCTGGAGTGTGGTGTCAGGCTTCTGGCTGTCCCTTCAGAAGGTATGTCTCTCCCTGTGCCCTCTGTCAAATCTGCTAGCCATGTACAAATCCCAGCTCCCTAAGGCATCCAGAGTGGCAGGAGACATCTGTGTTTACACAAGTAAAGCCCAATCACTTTTTTACTCTTCCTGTCCAATGGCTTCCTTCTGTCTGTCTTTCTCCCAAAAACCCCAATTTTCTCCTTAGTTCAGATTCTTGAAAACTCAGAGCAGCTTTTCTGCATTTGTGCTTGCTGAGCTAGTGAGCTCAAAATACATTTACTAGGGTGTTGCATGATCCACTACATTGATATTTAATAAGCTGCCTTTGCTTTTTGTAAGCAGTATTATGCCTTCTAAGGAGGTGTAGCACAACATCACAATCTTGTGGAATAACACTCTTTACTTACCTGATGGGGTAGGAATGAATGTAAGCTTCTGCTTGTGCTTATTGCTCAACAGACCACTTCCAAAAACTAAGCCAAGAGTTGGAATGGCTCCTTGTGTCTTAGCCCTGGGCTCCATCACATGTGACTGTTATTTGGGAAGACAGACACCATAATGTTGAATGTACTCCCATTTCTTTCTTGTCTCCCCAGTTTATATGGTGTGGGATATCCCTTTGGTCAGTTGTGGTCATATGTTCAGGCTGTGTCCCCTCCCAGTTTCTTGTGTCATCCCAGCCTGCTTGATGATGGGGTGGCATGAGAAGCAGAACAGTTTTTGACACTGTTCTCATCACAAATCCAAAACATATCACCATGCAAGCTACTGTGAAGAAATGTCACTGTACTCCAGCCAAAACCACATACATACAGATATATAGATACATATATGTAATGTAGTGCTGTACACACCTTCTGTGCTCTACTGACCCTGTGACCCTGGCCATTGTTGAAGAGCTGTGTCAGTCTTCTTAGAGAAAATGTGGAGTAACTCAGTTATCTTGTTAGATAATCTGTTTTCAAGGCTGGATTTTTTTTGGGAGAAAAAGCTTAGTAAAAAATAATTACAAAATGCATCTTCATTGATGTAATGAACATCCATCTTCATTACATCAATGCTACTCTTCCCCATGTGAGTAACAATTCAATCTTCAGACCAGTCCCAGAACTATTTTAATCAGCAATCTGCTATAATGCTTTCATGAATTTGCACATCTGCCTTTTCTAGTGCCCCACTTGTATTCTATCAGAAAAGGCATTTACTGACATGTCATTGGTGCTATGTTGATCTTACTGATCTGATTTTGTATGTTCAGAGAAAACACAGCAGTCTTTTACTTAGGGCCATCAAGCCTACTGGAAAATTGCAAACTAGGCAATTTTATTTATCTCTTGGCATAGGTGGTATGGTATTGCTGTATGTTGTGAGTTTAGGAGATCTGTTTTGTTTTGTGTTAAATTTTTGGAGCTGTATGGTAGGCTTCTGATAACAGAAAAGTGTACTCTAAAAGCAATGGGAATTAGAGGTGTTACTGAGATCTCATTAAGCTAAATCTTCTTTACATGTTATGTTTTAGGAAATCTTCATGAGACCCACAATGAAAAAGGAGGAAGGCCTGTTGCTTTTGATGAGACAAGGGTGATTACCAATGCCCACTGAAGCACTTTAGATTTGAGATTAGTCTTAAGAATGATTTTTAGCAGTAGGCAAACAGTGGGAAGCTCTGCAGTATTTTGTATTACTTTTAAAATATGCAGAACATTATAGCCAGAATATACAGCAAATTGTGAATTGTTCCTCTGCATTGTATAAATTTGATTAAATCTTGCTGCTCAGAGCATTTTATAATCTTTGTTGTTAACCAAAGAAAATAAGATGCAGTTTCAATAAGAGGAAACTCGGCTGTTGAGAAATAAACCATGCATATATTTTTAAAAGCAAAAGCCCCTTTTGCTGCTCTGTAGGTCAATGTTTATCTACTCACAGCAACTCTCCTGTTTTGTGAAGGAGAGAGAAATGTTGGAAGGTGTGTGAGCTCAGCCTGTGTACCTGATCTCTGTGCAGAAGAAATTGTCCATGCAGGTAGTGGATGTTGAGATGTCTCTGTATGTTTGACTCACATAGTGTAGAGCAGTTGGACTGAACTGAGAAGTGGCTTAGTATTTTGGTGAACTTCCCAGAATAATGCATCTTTTCCATTCACCTTACTCTCCAGTTCCTGAGCCTCATAATCGGCAGTCAAAGCGTGGCCTCCCTGTTTTGTTTTGTCTTGTCTTAAAATTGTCCCTATTTCTTGATAAGAAATGAAGGAAACCTTGAGTCTGCAGTGGTATGCACTGTTGCAAGTACATTTTTCCTGCCACTTCTTTTTTCCTACTACTTTTTTTTTAACCACTCTCTTAGGTAAATGTGTAGTAATTTCTCTCAATACTTTGAGCGCTTCTATTTTAACTTGCAGTGGTGTATATCTTGTTTAGCAGGACACCAAAACAGTGCCTAGATGTAGCTCTAGGGTGATGTTCCAATGTCATCACTCTCTTCATAACTAAACTGTCTTACTGCAGGGGGTGAAGTAAGCCTGTGCACATTGCTAGAAATGTGGTTAGACAGTATAATGCCACCAAAGTAAGTCCTGAGTCAACACTGAAGAGCTGCACAAGTCAAGAAGAGCTGTATGCACTGGTGCAGTGTATCAGTCCAAGCCAATCTCTTTTTCAGTAATAGCTCCCAACTCATTCCTGAATGCAATAGTCATACAAGTGATTTGTTTATCTTCCTGTTTTGTTCTTTTTGATTTGTAAACCAAAACATCCAATTTATTCTCCACCATATTTCTACAAAATTACATGGCTTGAATGCTCACTTACTTGATTGCTTGAAAGCTTTCGTCTGTAGAGTTTAGCTGTTGAATTTGTATGCACTTGGTTGTTATTTTGTCTGAATTTGGAGTTCAGCTTTGAATGCACTGTTTTTATTTTACTCACATTGTTTTTATTTTACTCACTTTGTTTTCATTTTACTCTCTTTATGTATTTTACTTTGGGTGCATCAAGGATTTCTGTCAAAATCTGCATTATAGTATATTTTCTGTTGTTTAAAGTGTTCTTCCTATTTTCTGCTAGTCCCTGCCTGTGCATGCTCTTCCAAGGTATCAGCTAGACCAAATAAAATGCCATTTATTCTTTTTTGTGAGTGTGTGTGCCATTTTGAGATAAGGTGTGAATTTAGATGGTAGAAACCACAAGGAAGAGTTTCTGCTTTTGTGAGATTTTGTTTTGAATGCCTTCTTTTTAATTGTTTTGTTTGCTTTCTGCTTGCACGCCCCTTTGCCAGCAGAACAATTACAGTATTATCTCCCTGCTTTTTATTCTTGACACTGGAGGCACAGGAATAAGATGTATGACAAGGACAATACATCTGCAACATTCAAATAAGAATCTTTTGTTCCTACTTTAGAAGTCCTGCAGATTTCTATCAGCCTGAAGAAATCTGGGACTAATTACCTGGAGCTGTTGACAATGTATAGTTTAGGGATGGTTTTATTTGGTATCTCTACTCTGGGGTTTCTGTAGCAGATTGAACAGAAGGAGACAAATTCCCCAATTCTCTGGTATGTTAGTGGGAATACTCTTCTGATTAATGAGATTAGTGAATAGGATAGATTAAAAAATAGGAATTAAAATCTCACCATGTTGTATGACTTTGGTTTTGTTCCAATATAAATGACTCAGCTTTTAGTGATTCCTGATAGGGAATCTATGCCTTCCAGCACAGAGATTTCATAAAAATAGATTGATTTTGGCAGCACAAAGTGACATTATTTTATGGGCAAATACATTGTTATTCTGGCAAAAGATGAATGGTATTAGTAAAATGTAACAACCTAACAAAAAGTAGAGTCAGATTCTTGGGCAGAATAGATAAGTCCATACGTTTATTGAAGGGATGAGGGGGAAAAATAACTATTTAAATAGAGAGGGAAAATTGCTCTTAAAAGATAAAAAAAAGTGTAAGCTTATTTCTTTAAAAAAACCCCAAATACCCCAAAACCATCTCTTCTCCAAAAAAAACCCCTTGTTTGCTTTTGTTTTAGAAAATCTAATGAGGCCCCTTAAGAACTATGGAATCGCATGGTGAGCATATGTTTTTATTTAAATCAAGCTTCTTTTCAGATGTACTTGGTATTGTACTTTAAAGCTCAAGTTTCTGGTTTGTTGTTGCAGCATGTCTATGGGTTTCTTGATAGAAGAGACTGCCCCAGTTGTGTGGAGAGGGCTCATGGTAATGTCAGCTGTTGAAAAATTGTTGAGACAGGTAAGACTTAGTTATGTATTTCTGCTTCAAAATAATCACTTATTTTGAAATGCATTTTACTGATAGATGAGTGTCCGTGACATTATTTTGTATGTTATTAGTGAGCATTTTTGTGTCTTGGTCTTCTTAAATTCAGGTAAGGGGGAAAGTTGATACTTCTGTGTTTACCTATGCCCCTCAAACAGAGCTGTTGTTCTGTGCCTTTGATGAGTGAATTACCCCGATTTGCCTTCCATCTCATTCCTTTTTATGTTTCTTTATGCAGTTGTTAAAAAAAGGCATTTTGAAGTTGCCTAAGGATTTGAATGTATAGATATCTATGCATATCTACAGCTGTATTCCCTTATGTGCTTGTTAATTCACCAGCACTAAGAATTCTTGGATGGCATTTGAAGTGACAGGTACAGGAAAATCATTAGCTACAATCTCTGTGCAATGCAGATAGATTGTTGGTTAATAAATCTTCTGGCATGTAGAAGTGGGATGACTTCTTTATTCTGTGGCAGATTTTTTTTCTTTTATTTTGAAGAGATCTGTGGAGTGCTAATGAGACAAATAGGTGAAAAAATGCATTAAGGTTGCATGTTTAGACTTTGAAGTGACCCAGATTGTTCACAGCTGATGTCCAGTCGAGGAATCTACTGTGTACAGCCTGGAGATCACAAGGTTTCTGTTTATCTTATTAAAATTCTTCCAAATACTGTGCTTCTTTAACAACTGAAAAGAATAATTTTTTCAGCCTTTTTCCATTTTTACTGAATTCTCCTTTAGCATGGATTTTAGAATAGTGACACTTAGTGCTCTGGTGATGGAAACCATACGTCTGCCAAAACTTCAGAACATCTTTGTCTAGAATTGACCTTTAAAAGTAAGGGGTATCCATGCCAATAGCTGTGGAGACCATTCTGACCTCTCTGTGTGCTGTGTTGCAGTGGCTGGCTCAGGAAAACAGAATGTAAAACCTTGAAGGTAGAGTTAAAGTTAGCACCTGCTGTATTGGCATGCTCTGTCCTGGGAGAGTGGAGGCTGGCAGGCACTGCAGTGCTGTTCCTCAGTCCATAGTGTCCCAGCTGGGGAGTGTGTGCCAGCACCTTGTGCAGGGTGCTGGTGATGCTGTGTAATGAGCTCGCTGCTCCCTAGCAACCAGAGCAGTTACATGCTGGCCAACCATGCTGTGGGAATGAGACAAGTCCATTAATGCTCAGGGCATCACTGATTTCCCTGGCAGTGAAACCTTAGCTGTGAAGGAGCAAGATTTTATGGCTAAATTTCTCCTGTCCACATGCATTTTGCTTCTGCATGATTACCAGGTTAGCCTGAAATCTGAGCTGGAAAAGTTTGCATCTCTTCCTTTGAAAAGAAGCTCACAGATCACAGGGAAAATGAGCAGTTCTGTCTGATGTCCAGAAAGGAAAAGAATGCACGTTCCAGACTGAGATGTGCTATTTTGTTTGTAAAAACTGTAATCTCCCTTCTGCAGTAACCAGCCATTCTCAAGAATGGTTAACTGCAAGACCAATAGTTTAAGGATTTTAGACACCTAAACAAGAGAGAACTGCAGGATGTGATGATCCTTTTAAAGATACTTTTGTTCTATTTTAGATTAGAAATAGTTTTGTGATCTGCTGATTGTGATCTTCAAAAATTTTTGTTTGAAGATCACAATTGAAATTTTGTTTGAAAAATCTGTTCTGGTTGGTCTTAGCTATTAACTCCTGTTTAACAGGATAAAATTGCTTCCAAGAATAAAATACTTCTGCTGGTATTTAACTGTCTAAAAACATATTCTTAAGAAAAAGCTTATCTCATTAGCTGCATAGAAACCATTTAAATTAGCTCCCTAATCTAGATTTGTAGTATAATATAAGTGTGCAAAGTTCCTGTGCATTCAGACAACCTGCTAAAATACAAAGTTCTTAAAATAGTTAATTCAGCCTGATAGAAAACATAGATGTTCCCATACTTCTTCCCTAAAAGCACTGGTGGTATTTCATATTTGTGTTTACTGTTAGATTGTGGAGAGGTTTTTTAGTTGTTTGATAGCATCAAGACTGTGCATTCACTCTGTGAATAATTTTGGATGTGTTTTCTTTTCTTCCATATGAACAAATCTGTTTTCCAGAGTTTATCATGCTTCTGATACTGCAGTAAAGCATTTGAATTGCTTAGTTTCCAAATTCTGTAATGGGGACTTGTTACCTCATAAATATGAGTGCCTGTTATGAGTGTTTCAATGCTTGTCTTACACTTGGAACTTAAAAAAATTTCTGGAATCCTTACTCTTTTAAATATATTTGTTAAATATATACATAACGCTTTTGTAGATACTTACTGCATGTGATCTCCCTCTTTGTAATGCAGGTTTATTGAATAGTGTCAGAATGGTAGATAACAGGCAATATTAGTGAAGTAGTGAGTGGTGAGTGCTTGGTGTTTCTCTGGTTATGCATATCTCATGAGCAAGGTGGTTTTCTGCAACACATACTATTCTCCTTTAGCAGAATTTGGGGGAAATGTGCCTTACAATACCAAACAAAGTGAACAGTTTAGGATGCTGTATTACTTACATTACCTATATATTGATGTATGTGAATCAAATTAATATATAAATGAAAATATAGAGCATATTCTATAACAGAATAATTGGTCAATAGAAAAGAAGGAAAGTGATGATCTTAAGCTATTGAAAGAACAAGAAGAAATGCAGAAGGAAATTGTATTTCATGTGTAGTGAAAGTGAATTGCAAACAGTAATGGAACATTTGATCTTTACAAACATATGCATAACTTTCTGTTAAATATATCTCTAGTTTATGTCTTGAAATTGCCCAAAATTTTGTTGTGGCTGAGAAGTGACTTATTTGTTAACATAAGATGTACTGTAGCTCTATTTACACTTCAGGATGGTCTATCACTTATCTGGGTTTTGACTCTTATTTCCCTGTCACAGTTATCTTCATGTAAAAAGTCTTTCACCTCTGTTAACACTTCTTTTGAATCTTGCTTGCCTGTAGGTGAGATAGAAGAGAGTATTTTTTTTTTAGTTTGAGTTTTTAAAGATCTCTCTTTTCTCTGAAGGTATAATTACAGTCCAGGTAAGGAAGCTCTCCAGTGCATCCATGGTACTGGGCTTTTTCTCTGTGGTTTTCACTTCACTTAAGAAGCTGTCTACTCTTTTGTCTGGCCCCCTTTACTTTGTTCCTTTACTCTGTGTATCTTGACTCAGTGTGATGGTATTTGGTTCATATTAAACAGCCTGCCTCAAAACTCATCATCTTGCTGTATTTGTTGTGGGATTGACTTATGATTAACCTTTAGGCTAAGCACAGTAAAGATACGATATTTTTTGAGAGTTGCCTAAAGCCTGCACTCGAACAGTAATGTGTCTGAAAAGCTGTTGAAATAAGTATCAAGTAGGTGGCTAAGAACCTTAGAAATAAAAAGATTATTTAAAAAAAAGACAAGGCAAGCAGAACTTGCTCTCTGATTTGAATTGCTTTTTCAGCAGGGATTTCAAATACCATTACCACTATCCCGTACACTCCGTATGGCAAGTTCTCTAGCATTTCTAGCAAAGTTCCATTCTCTTTTCTGTCTTAGGGCATCTTAACAGTTGATGGCGAAGAAGCAATTAGAAGGGTGCAGATACAAACCTGCTGTATGTCTTGGAGTGTGTTATGGCAATCATTCTGCCAAAGGCTCTGTGGAAGGAGAAGTCGCTGTGCTGACTGCCAATTTACTATCTGCTATAGTCATAGAAGCAATACAAATGGAAGGAGTTTCCTGTTTAGGGAGCAATCAGTAAAACTTTTAATATTAAAAGATAGCAAGTGTTGTTTTCTCTGATCTTGGATTCACGATCTTATTCCATGTGTGTTACCTACTTGAACTATCAGCAGAGAAGGAAAAAAAAAATCAATATTCTGCACACAAGTCTGCTTCTCTTTGTAAAAAAATCAAATAAAAATGGGTCTACAGATAAAATGCAAGTGCATATTTTATTATGTAATATTCTCCTTGTATCTTTGTCCTATCAGTAGATAAAGTTATATCACTACTGGAAGCAAGCGTTGCCTACACAACATGGATTATAGATACCAGCAATTCTCTTTTGTGTGAACAGTCCCCTTGAAAATAGCCTAGAAGTCTGCTCTATTTTCAAGGCACGGATCTCAGGTTAATGAACACCTTTAATAGGATTTCTTACCCTGACATGACATTTTAACCTATGTTTTTGCAGGCTAGTCAGATCTTAAGAGGCAGGACTCTTGTATTTCTTCCTTATCATAGTTTTCAAGAGTATCCAGAATATTTTTTGCATCTTTGGTATATTATAGCTATAAAGCAGAGCCTCAGTGCTGCTAAGTGTTTGTGAATCCTAAAGGTTCTGTTGATGTATTTGATAAGGATGAAGCCATGTTCCCAGAAGGATGAAATTTTTCCTGCAATGGCTTAATTCTAATGAGTCCCTAAAATGCTCTTATTGTCATCAAATTGTAATTCGTCAAGCTCTTTCTTCCTGCTTATTTTAGCACCACTTCAGCCTCTGTTCTAGTCAAGGTAGGTGTTGAAAGAAAATTAAATAAAACAAAGTTTCACTGGGATGGGTATAATTAGAAAGGAAGAATACAGGGAAGTTAGCAGATAGCAAATTAAATTAAACTTCCAATGCAGAGCCATTATCAGCAAAAGGAGGTGGAGCCTTGCATTTTGATGCTTGGACAAGCTTTATCCCCTTATATTCATGTTGAAAGCCATAAATTAAACAGAAGCAGGATCAATGTTATTTTATTAGCTAACCCAGGACTTAATAGGATTGTAGTCTAAAGATTCAGCCTTACTCTTAAAACAAATTGAAATCAGTCTGTGATTATTTAAGCTGTACATAATCTTGAAAATTTGGCTAGCAGTGAGGACTGTGTGTGCTTCTTTCTTTCAACGCCAGCACCTGCCAGAGATAGTGATGGTAGCAATTATTATATAGTGGAGTGTGTGAAGAT